CTCGACTCAGCGGGCGCACGGGTCCTGGGTCCAGGTCTGGGGAGAGGTGAGGAGGGGACCCGTGCACCCGCCGAGTCGAGGATAGGCAAACCCGCCCCCACCTGCTTCTTCTCTGAATCACTCCGTACATCCAGAAAAAAATCCGCACGGAGATAAAGTCATGGTAAATTTGGATTCCAGATATTTCTATAAATAAAACCTTAAAGTTAAGGAAACTGACATGCATAAGTGTACTATGCCTGCATCTGATGGCTCCTGCTGATCCAACGATGAGTACCAGGTGGCTGGTTAACCCCGCTCACATCTGCAGTTATGCTGCACCGCACGCACGAGTGCAGGAGTGCTTGCCTATCACCCCTGTCCACCGCCTTACGGTCCGAGCTAGAAGGCCACTCGCCCGCGCTCCCGGGTGTGCAACAGCATAACTGCAGATGTGAGCGGTGTTAATCAGTCACCTGGTATAACCCACCACACCCACCATCTAAAATTGGCGCAATTTTGTGTACGACATCGATTTTACCACGGCTCACCTCGATGTCGCCCTGCAGGCGGCTCCGTGGGCGCTTCCGTGACCTACCCCGTGTGCGGGCTCATCATTGACAGCCTGGGTTGGGAGGCTGTCTTCTACATCTCGGGCGCGCTGGGCGTGCTCTGGTGGCTGGCCTGGACCGTGCTCGTGTTCGACTCGCCCGAGGAGCACCCGAGGATCGCGTCCAGCGAGAGACTCCACATCCAAAAGGCCCTTGTCGGGAACGTCACTAGGAAGAAGGTGTGCCAGCGACAAATGCTAGCCTGTAATGCCAGCTATACACACTAAATTTTTATGAACTTTTTTGTACGCAGTTTATGTATTTCAGGGTACATGCGCTACTGCGTATCATGTTATACGCAATTATGAACAATTTTGAAAAAATATATTTTTAGCCATCTGGACAGGGTTTGCAATCTGAAGCCATAGTGGTTCCTGAAATGAGGGCAAGAGGGAAGGTCATGTGAATTGTGTTGCAGCTACCGACGCCGTGGAGGAGTATCCTCCTGTCGCTGCCCGTGTGGATGAACATCGTGGCGCAGTGGGGAGGCCTCTGGGGGTTGCTCACGCTCATGACGCAGGCGCCCTCCTACTTCAGGAACGTCCATGGCTGGGGCATCCGTATGGTAAGTTTCTACAGAAGGGGGCTTCCGCTGAGAACCAATGAGCCTCGGCGGCAGTCGCCTCACGGCTCACGCTGCTACTCACTCCCACAGACGGGGCTGCTGTCCGGCCTGCCGCAGCTCTGCAGGATGCTGTTTGCCGTCGTCTTCTCCACCATCGGGGATTATCTTCTCAAGAGCAACCGGATGTCCAGGACCAACGTGCGCAAAATGGCCACAGCAATGTGTAAGTTTCGGCAGCAGCAAAGAAATTGCGCTGATAACGGCACGTAAATTGACAGTTTGCATTTGCTTGCGTGTGTGCAGGCAACATCGGGCAGGCCGTTTTCGTCATCGGGCTCGCTTTTTCGGGCTGCAACAAAATCGCTGCCATCTTCTTTCTCACGGCGGCCACCGCGGCGAACGGCGCCGTGTCGACGGGTGCGCTTGCCAGCATGGTTGACATAAGCCCAAATTTCGCCAGCATCGTCCTGGGCATCAACGGGGTAGTCACTGTGTTGCCAGGATTCATCTCCCCCATCATGGTCGGGGCTCTTACGTACAACAATGTAGGTATACCCAGAGGGTTTTCCTCGGGGGACACTTTTGTCGGTGTAGTTTCAAATACCAAATGACCCAATCTTGACTGACCTTCATCAATTATGTAATTTTGACAAAATCTTTTGGACCGCCATTTAAAAGATCATCCAGAAAGTACGACCGCCCTTTGCCGCACGAAACTGCCCAACTGCCCAGTTAGCCAATGGAAGCTCTCATAGCGCCTGATCGGTAGGCAATATCTTGCCTGTGGTGCACGCGTGCAATGCAGGCTGGCCTACCCTGATTTTCGCAGGCGCCGAGCTCCTGTAATTTGCCGACCGAATCTGAGGGAAGCGGGCCTACGTTCTGTACGATCCCTAACACGCGTGCCGACTGGTTGCATGCATACTCACTGGGGACTGGACGGGTGATTCAATGCCCCCTCTAGATGCGTTTGATAAGCTCCACAAAAACGTCAACCCCCTCGGATCCCCACTGTCCCTCCTCTTATCACTTAAAAAATTTGGAACTATCCAAAATTGTTGTCTTGTGGGTTTACCACGATGGTGGAATCGTTTGTTACAGCAAACTGTAGAGCAGTGGCAGATTGTATTTGGCATTACTGCCGCTATGCTGCTGGTAACCGGAGTTGCGTACGTGTTGTTCGGCCGCTCGGAAGTGCAGGTGTGGAACGAGCCTGCTGAGTCCACGTCCGCCGAAGATGACGACGCCGAAGACGACAAGACGGTTGTGACCGTGTCTTCCAAATGCTCCGATTCAGTACGATCCTAATGGGCCAAGCAAATGCTGGGAGCATGAGAGAAGAGCGTGGCGTCTTTCTCTCAAGCTGCGAGCGCGAGGACAGCTGGTGCAAAAGTGACTGGCTGGCCCCTACAGGGATGGTTTTAGGCCGAGGCCCATCCTGGGCCCATCTGATGGGTGGTGTATCCGAGGGTGTGTTACACACTGTCCGTTTTACTGACTCGTGGGGAGGTTCCTAGCCCTCTCTAACCGCCCTTAATTTGTTGTCTTTCACGAACTTGTGGGTCATTAATCGGGTTCAACAATGACGTTGGACCAGTGCAAAGAGTAAATCAATCGCGTCTTCCTTCATAAGCAGTCACTGCCTGTAAGAAACGTTTGTTCATTTCTCATGTAAATCTTTGTAACTCGGCGAGGAAGAGTCTTTGCTATCAGGATCTCATTCGTGCCATCTTTGAAATCTAATGTAAGGTAATGATTTGTACATACGTCATTTGGTAGTTTAAATGTAACTCTTAAGGTCACTATGATTCCAGTCAAAAATTAAAATTATTTGAAATGGGTATTTTTAACTGATATTGTTCTGATCCACACCGTTCCTCACTTCTAATTAGAGAC